CACCAGCCGTACCAGGTCTGAAGGACGCTGACATATTTTCCTGCTACTAAATAACTAAAACTACAATATTTTGTTTATCCACTGATCACCATTGTTAACTGCGCAGGTCTTCCCTCATTTGTATATGTTTTCACAGTAATACCAATCTCTATTGCAATAACTAAACCATAATAACTATGGGATAGCAGGGTATGTTGGTTATATGACATTGGTAACGCACCAATAAAGTAAGTTTGTTGCGGTGTGTTGTCATGGTGTAATCCTGAAGTCCTGCATAACCCGTCATGGAGACTTTATGCCAAAATGTGTTCCTCCTCCCCAAGTCGCATTGGCCTGCATCCTAAGTGATCCCAACTCTTGAGGGGTCAACTTCCAGACGTCCAATAAATTTTAGTAAAGGACATGATATATGATGAGATCATCCTCTCATCAGTAGCAATGAACTCTAGTATGGATGTAATGCTCTCTGCCAAGCCAATCCCATTAGCTTAAGCATATCCTCAGTTGGGTTATCAGTTGCAGCGAAGCGTTTCGTATGCAAGAATGGCGTAACCTATCAATGGACAATGTAACGCTCTTGTCGTAAAACTCCGCCCTTACGTGGTCCTTTGCTGTTTGGTTGATTCGTTTAATAATGTTATTGTTGGTATAAAAGTCTTGCATTGGCGACTAGTATAATCAACAATTCCTACAAAATATTTAACGCTTATGAGTATTGATTGATTGCAGATTTTGATGATAACATTGTATGGCATTTTTTAATAATCATGTCACACTTGGGAACAAAGTATTCAGCAATAGTGATATACAGTGAAGCTTTCTTGGTTTTTCAGCACATCACTTTTCACACATTCTGTTCATGACATAGAAGCAGGGAATTGTACCTGACAATGGCCACATTTGATTGAAACATGTTCAAGTAAACAACAAACAGTATGTGAAAAGTTGTGAGCAGAAAAACCAATAATTCAACATAACACACCAGGATGTTACACAACACTTCTGAAGCATCATTGTTTGAGGCATATTGGAAGACATTAATTTCAAGCCTGGAATTTGTAGATATGTACTATTGTTACACAGGGCTCAACCTGAAGTACATTCAATAGTTTCCTTTGTATGTGGATAGCACTCAGGGTGCTGTTAGAGGGGGTGGTGTTACAGTTCAATGTGCATAAGCTGTAAGACAAAAAATTGCTGCAGAATGAAATGCATGGCAGATGGAGGTCATCCTAACCTATATGCCACTGTTATTAAAACTTGTAAGTGGTTGACCCACATTATGATTAAGCTTTAGTTGAATCAAAACAGGCTATGGAGTTAAAAATGTACAGAAACTTGTGAGCTTATCAGTAGTTATTTAAATTTAGAGTAACTTTATTACATTCAAATTTATATACATACCTCAAAATAAGTTGTTCAATGCAAGGACTATAACTGATTATGGCCTGACAGTAAGGCTGGAATATCTGGCTTGATGTTGGTAAGATTAAGATGGACATGCGATTCCACATCAATAAAACAACTTCATTTCATGTTTTAATATGTCATCACTGAGAATCCCAACTCACAAGAGTGAGGTGGGAAATGGCAGAAATACTTAACTGCTTTATCAAATAGGACAGAGCACTGAGAATGAATGCTCAACCAGAACTAAACATATTCACCCTGAAGATGGTGGCTGCAATGTTTTATTACTTTCAACATCTGACATCCCTGAAAGTTGAAGTTTTACGATGAATTCCAGCTGTGAAAACCTAAGGAGAATGTGCTGTGTGACTTCATCAACACATTCATCACTTGTATATCTATTATTTTTACCCTTCATGGTGGAGAGGGATAGATGATGCAGGACTTATCAATTGGTAGCATCAGTCCCTCAAAAAAAAAAATTTAATTCTTCCTTAGTGATTCTCAATTCATATGCAGCCATGCACCATTTATGCAAGTAGTGTTTCAAAATTTAAAAACTACCTTTTTATTTTAACATGCACTAGATGTCACAAGCTTACTATATCTACCTGTACAAAAGTCTAGGCATCAGTTTAGTGATCTGTGAGATTAAAATATTCTGTTGACAAGCTAGGACCAAAGCATGTCATAAAAACCCCTCATCAACATCAACCTTCTATGTCAAAGCTCCAGTGGCCTCTTACAATATCATTCAAGTGTTCATATGGTCTGCCCAGAGATCTCCAATTTGACTGGTAATGAAGAATTTTGAGTTGGTTTATATAAGATAAGACTAATGATAACAAAGTAAGTCAAAATGTGTGGCCTAGAAATATTGCACAAAATTAATAAATTTTAATGAGTTAATGTACAGACAGCCAAATTTTTAATATCAATTGTCATATATTACACAATGAGATGCTGCAGTACATATCTTGTTATTTAATTATAAAATCTCAAATTTTAAGCAGTGTATCATATAGAATAAAAAAATTAAGTATTTTGGTTACAACAGTTTCCTTTCTAAAACAAAATTTAGTAGGATTTAAGGTTTTCATGGCAGTGAGTCCAAATATGGCTGTCTTCTGGGTTGTTGTAATGACTTATCACCTTGATGATGGAGGCAGCAAGGACCTCTGAAATGTTGGTGAACTTCTATCAGACTACAGACTACAGTGCTACAACCCAGAAAACAGATATCAAGAGCTAGTTAATTGCAAAAGACAAAATAAATGTTTTACACTCAAGCCAAATGAGAGCAGCGATGTTACCAACTGTGCAATGCTTATGTGCTTTGTAATATCTGAAGCACAGGGAGTAGTACAAGAATTCCTATTTTGTGACAATCTGGCAAACCACACAACGGCAGACAAAATTTGTAAAAGGCTGGGTGATTTTATGAAAGATAATAAGATTGTAATATAAAATAAGCAAACAAACAAACTAAATATAACACTATAAATGACACTAGTGCCAAACGCGTTTCAACCTTAACAGGTCATCATCAGTGGCAAAAGGAAATTAATTCATATAATCAAAAGTGTTTTTTAAAAAAAATAAATCATGAAGTTGAATTCTTTACAAAACCATAACAAGCAACACTACACTAGATGTTGGTTTCACAGGAGTTGTACTCTGCACTTAGCTACTGGTCCAATGTTCCGGTGGCAATTGCTGGTCTGCGGCAAGCCGTGGTTGCGTCGTCCATACCCATGAACTCCAACGAAGCGTGGGTGTTACTGCCAGTTTTTGAATGTTTTGGTGTGTGTGTGTGTGTGTGTGTGTGTGTGTATATATATATATATAAAAATATAAAAAGCTCGAATTCAGGGTGGCCAACTATTGAATATGAAAATTTACTTTTCCTGTTTATTGCCAGGTCAAATAATACGTTAGAATCATGTTCGTTAATGATGGCTTGGTTTTAACTACTTTTATATATATGGAGCTTTTCTAAAATATCTAGCATTTTGCCTTTTGAGGCTACTCACTGGCAGCCACTAGCCACCACCACCGGTGGCTGCCACCTGTGGCTAAACATGACCACTAGTGGTCCCCACTTTATGCAGACATTTTCTCCAAGCGCGTCAGTAGCAAAATGGACTCCAATATGGAAGCATTGGTCGCAATACTAATAATACGTAAACGACAACAAAGACAGCGCCGTTTTTGGGTACATCCAATATTGCGAATTCGCAGCGAACACGGCCATTTTGCTACGCTTTTTGAGGAGCTAAAGAGGCACAAAGATAAATTTGGCAACAAACAGTTGGCAGAGTTCTTCCCAGGATTTTGTTTTCTCTGTCCTGTTGCTGTATAATTCAGACCGCATATCCCAGATAGCTGGACGGGCCTCAATTTCATGGATGAATAATTCAGTATCGAATGTCTCCATACTGCATACAAAATACAGACTGCAGCAAGTGGCAGCCACCGGTGGCGATGGCTAGTGGCTCCGTTTGCACCCAGCCTTAGTGTCAATACAGGTGGAGCTGTTCAATGACTGGTACATGTAGTGGCATTCATGCTCTGATCACGCAAATAGCACCTGAAGCCAAATTTACACACTGCACTATTCATCATGAATCTCTTACCTGCAAGATTCAACAAAATATGACACTAGTTTTAGATCAGGCTGTATAGGTAGTGAATTTTATTAGACTCTGAGCCTTAATTCTTGCTTGCTTTCAATACTGTGCTCCGAAATAGATAGTGAGCACAGAACATTTCTTCACACTGAAGTAAGATGGCTGTCCTGAGGGAACGTTGTCTCTTTGAGCTTCAAGATGAAGTTCGAATTTCTCTTTCTGAGAGCAACCATGGACCAACAGCCTCGTTGATTCATTGCTTCACTGATGAATTACGATTTCCTGATATCTTTGGTTGGCTGAATGATCTTAATGTAAGTCCACAGGAATGATATCATTTGCCTATTCTGAGAAAATGAAAACACTGCAAATGAAAATCAACTGCATTGCTACAGACTGAGTGCAAAAAGAATTCCAGCATACTAACCCTGCAAAATTTAGTTGCTGAAAATGAAATTATTGTTCACTCCAAAACAATCAATGTTAAACAGCAAGGCTGTGACTCGATATCTACTTCAGTTAAGTTTGAGAACCCCTGGCATAGAACACCTCCATTTGGAAAGCAGAATAAAAAACTCGTGAAAAAGAATGTACTGCTGAAAAATCATCATATTCTGAACATGTGCTTCTTTAGTCAGAATTCATCATTACTATTCAAAATATGACATACCCAAGATCAAGAGGCTGGCTGTACAAAATTAAACCTGAAGCTATTGTCTGAGCTTTTGTATGCAAGACTTTTGTGGCTCGTTGTGAGTTGACTGGTGCATGCCTCTTCCTTGCCCTCTGGCATCTCAAAATTGAACCTGAAGTTAGCTTGTGATGGCTCACAGATGACAGCACTCTGTTTCACAAAGCAAGACTTCTTGTTTGGTGTTGGTGCAGTAATACTGACCCTCTCCTGGGCTGAAACATTCAGTTCACCAAAATAATTTAAATGGAAATAAAGAAGCTGTGTTGTGTATTGCACAAGTGTGTGTGTTTTTATAGAATGTAAGGGGAATTGGTGGTCTACCAATAAGGCAGATGGCCTTACGTTTTGAGAGGTCTCCAGTGCAAGACCAGCCAGATTTTTTCTGCATATCTGACAAAATATAAAACTTTTTGAATAAGAGAAATACCATGTCCTCACTATCATTCAGAGCTCATATTAAAGTTTCATGTACTCTTTGTTGGATTATGATAGACCTTCCAAGATGTTTGGAACAGAGATTACCGCATATAACTGAATTTGGGCCGAATAAATGACCATGGGAGAGACCAAGCACAAGCATAAGACAGGAAGTGAGGGAAAAGACAAACAACAGA